AAATCAGTTAATTGAAAACACTCACCAGGAAAGAAAATTAAATAATAGGCCCTAAATGTTTGCACAGCTCAGCTCAAAAATCTAGTTCAGGATGAGAATGTTAGCCTCTTGGTTCTTTTACGCATTCTAAACAAGACCACCACATGCCCACTTGAGAAGAGGAACAGGAGAGAGAGAGAGAGAGAGAGAGAGAGAGAGAGAGAGAGAGAGAGAGAGAGAGATTGAGATTTACATGCACACTCCCATGTAATAATCAGTTCTCTAACTGATTGGGTCATAATGAGAACACAGTTTCTCTGGAGCTGGAGAGATGCCTCAGGTCAGAGGTCATACTTATAGCTCTTCTGAGGACTGAGGTTGGTTCCCAGCACTGACTGACTTCAAGCTGATCACAACTGCTTGTAAATCCACTTCCAGGAATAGTGGACACCCTTCTGGCCTCCATGGGCACCTGAACATACACACACACACACACCACAAATACATAAATAATAAAAAACAAAAATAACCCGGGCATGGTCCCCAGCACTCCAGAGGCAGAGGCAGGAGGATCTCTGTGAGTTTAAGGCCAGCCTGGTCTAGAGTGAGCTCCAGAACAGCCAGGGGTACATAGAGACCCTATCTCAGAAAGAAAAAAAAGTGAATAAAGATAAATCCTAATAAAATGCTTTGTCTGTTTTATTAGAATAAGTCATTCAATTGCTATTTGTCTGTTTCATTTTATCCTTTCAATGATACATTTTATTTATTAAGAAAGTCTAGTAGCACCACGTCTGGCTGCAAGACCCTGTTTTTTTAAAAAAATGCGTGTGTGTACCTCCATGTGTGGAGGTCAGAGGACAGTTTGCTAGAGTTCCATTGAGTTCCAGGGGTCAAACCTGAGTCAGATGTGGCAGCAAGTACCCATTGAGCCATCTTGCCAGCCTACTATTGGTCTATTTAAAAAATTCAGGTTCTTACTAAATTAGACCAGTGGGCTTTGATGAAAGTGCCAGAAACTGCTAACCGGGTTGTCAGGTTAATACTCAAACCTGAGCTTATCACAAAACATGTTTGGGTTTTTTTTTTTGTTGTTGTTGTTCTTTTTTTTTTATTTCCGAGACAGGGTTTCTCGGTGTAGCTCCTGCCCTGAATCTAGCTCTGTAGACCAGGCTGGCCTTGAACTCACAGAGATCCTCCTGCCTCTGCCTCCCAAGTGCTGGGATTAAAGGTGTGCGCGCCATCGCCACCCGGCACAAAGCATGTTTTTTAAGGCCAAATCCAGAACGAAGAAAAAGATGGCCTCAGCCATATGCTTGCTTCCTCCTCGGGTCCCGACAGTCCTGAGGGTGAAACTGATGATTTGCCAAGAAAATTGTGACAGGCCTGAGATGCTCACCTGGGGTCCCTGGCAAGCCTGCCCCTCAACACTGTCTCAGTGCTGTGTCAGATCCTAGCAGCAGGAAGCCCCGGCTTCGCCCTGAAGCTGAAGCCTTGGCCGTCAGGGCCCCCTGAGCTGTGGTTCATCTGCCAGTCAAGTGTTCAAACCAAGGCCCTGCAGTGATGCCTGGTGCGGTGGGCACCATTTTACAGTTTGACCTGAGGGAGGCGCCTCTCACCTCCCACTGACTAAAAAGGAGGCTCTCTTCCGGGACCCGGAAAGCATCAAAGCTTCCAGCCTTCCTTCCGTGGTGAGCTTTAAGCTTCATCGTCTAGTGCCTAAAATAGCAACTGGCAGTCATAGCATCTGCTCAGGTAAGAAGGCTGCTTCCACGGCTTTAAACATGCACATGCAAGACCCACGGGACCCCAGTGTAGCTCCTTAGTGGGGTGCTTGTTCAGCATGCTCAAGGCTCTGGTTCACTTCCCAGCATCATGAAAGGATTGTTCGAAGTTAAAATAGACACCTATAGAAAAATCTATGATTCTCTCTCTCTCTCTCTCTCTCTCTCTCTCTCTCTCTCTCTCTCTCTCTCTCTCTCTCTCTCTCATAGTGGGAATCTCAGCTCACATTTAGGAATATACCTGGTGCTAGGAGGCTTCATTCTCTCTGTATTTTAAAAATGTGAACACAAATCTTTGGTACCTGTGGATGGCAGTTATCTGGCTGCGGTGTGAAGCCTACTGTTTTCAAGGACAGACATTCGGCTGACTGCCCAAGAATAAAAATAGTGGAGAATCAAAGGGTTCTGCTCGCATGAAGGACGGGCTCAAGAGGAGCCACACCAGCTCAGCTCAAATCACCTTCTCCAATCTCATACAGTTCTCCCGGGCTTTCAAAGTCTGCAGGACAAGGGGTGAGTGCTGCATGGTACTGGGGATGCAGCTCAGTTGGTCAAACGTTTGTGTAGCATGAACAAAGCCCTGAGTTTGATCCCCAGCATGGCATAAAACCAGGCATGAGGGTGTATACCCATAATCCTAGCAGCTGGAGGCTGGAGATAGGACAGGAAGCTCAGGTCATCCTCGGCCTCTCAGAATTTGTCACCAGCCATGACTACGTGAAAACATAGATATATAAACCAAAAATATATAAAGACAGTGACTTTACAAACGTTAATGCACTGAGGTCCCAAGTGACTCAGATGACGCCTGATTAACCATGCAATGGGAGAGCTGGGCGGTGGTGGCGCACACCTTTAATCCCAGCACTCGGGAGGCAGAAGCAGGCGGATCTCTGTGAGTTCCAGGACAGCTGGGCCTACACAGAGGAACCCTGTCTCAAAACCAAACCAACCAAACAAAAAACCCCCAGTGCATTGGGGGAGGTGGGGAGGGAGTTGAAATGGCCCGGCAGGTGAAGGTGCTTGCTGCCAAGACTAACAGCCTGAATCTGATCCCTGGCACCTGCACGGTGGAAGGAGAGAACAGAAGTGATTCCCACAAGCTGTCCTCTGTCCACATCTGTGTCATGGCGGAGGCACACCTGGGCCCACACATATATGCATTAAATATATGAAAAAAGAAAACAAATTTTTAAAATATTTATTTTATTTCCTGAGTATCTGTGTTTGCTTGCATGTGTGTCTGTGTTCCAGGTCTGTGCCTGGTGCCACTGGAGGTCAGAAAAGGGCATCGGATCCCCTGGAACTGGAGATACAGGTGGTTGGAAGCCTACCTGAGGGTTATGGGAACCAGACCTGGGTCCTCTGCCCGAGAGGCCGGTGATCTTCGCTGCTAAGCCATCTTCCTACCGAGCCATCTCTAGGTCCAGAAAACAAGTGATTCAGTGAGGAGCAGAGGTAAGATCAGAATTGCAAATGGCTGCCTGGGAGACAGGTTCTCTGGTAGCCCAGGCTAGCCTGAAACTCTCATTTATTTATATTTTTTATCTTTTAGTTTTTTGGTCTGAATCTCTATATATAACCAAGGCTAACTGTGAACTCCTGATCCCCCTGCCTCTTCCTCGAAGGTGCTAGGATTATGGGCCCTTACCAACATACCTGGGTTTATGCAATGCTAGGGTCTGACCCCAGGGCTTCACACCTGTGAGGCATTCAGTCTACCTTTCCAGTTTTGTGAGGCAGAGTCTCCACTCACAGACTGGCCTCCAAGTTACAGCAATCCTCCTGCTTCCACCTCCCAAGTACTGGATTATGGACTGGAAAGGTAGCTCAGAGGGTAAAGGTACTTGTCACCAAGTTTGAGTCTGAGGACCCACTTGGTGAAGGGGAACACTGGCTCCCAATGTGGGAACTGTGGGTGCATGGCGCCAAATCTGGTTATGACCAACTCTTTATCTATCTATCAACTATTTATCTAGCTATGATTTTTCAAGACAAGGTTTCTGCATAGTCCTGGCTGTCCTGGATCTCACTCTGTGGACCAGGCTGTCCTGGAACTCACAGAGATCCCCCTGGCTCTGCCTCCCCAGTGCCACTGCCCGGCTGACTGTTTTTGTTTTTAACGTGGGTCCTGAGGACCAGAGTCAGGCCTTCATGCTTGCATAGCAAGTTCTTTCCTGACTGAGCCACCTTCCT